AATTGTGGTAGTCGGCAGGCTGTATATATGTATATATATATATTTGCATATAAATTCAAACAGTTTGATCTGGAGGCAACTTCAATTGTCATGAACGGCTCATGATGACGCCGACCAAAATCTTGACAAAACCGAAGATATCCAAATTCACCCCTGGTCGTTATTTATTTATTTATCTCTCGGCTAAAATAAAATTAGTAGATCTTCCCATATAATATGAAGTTAACATATATTGTTTATTTATTTATCTCTCGGCTTCATATGTTTTCAATTCCGCGTTTGCAGGTAATAAATAAATTAAAAAAAAAAAAAAAAAAAAAAAAAAAAAACAACAACAACAACAAATATATATATATACTTGCATGCATACGAAACTTTATTAATCACCGGCTGGGTTCAAGAATCACGTATTGCAATTATACCATCTTCACCCTCTCTAGAAGTCTCATCGGCAAGAAAATTTGACAATGTTAGGGCCACTTCAATTACCATAAAGGCTCATCATATTTCCTTTCCTTAAACTTCTAACTCTATCTCTTTAGGTATAATTTCACCAATTTATTGTTTATATAAAACTATGATCTTTACTAAAGTTTTTTCATAGTTTGAGTTGGATTGGGTCACTGTTATTGTTCGGCGAAAACAAAGCCAAACGGAGATGATCAAGTATTCTCGACCAAAAAGTTGTCGAAGTATTTCGGCAAGCCCACGTTGCCAACATGCCGACCACGTATTTGGCAAGCCAAGAAGGGAATTGCTGCACATTTGTTCTCAGCCAGTCAAACTCAAAGCGAAGGCTGACCACTGGCTTACGGCAAGTGAGTTAACTCACTTTCGGTATAGACATGATGCTGCCCAGTCGACAGCTCTGCCAACGACTGGAACACTCAATTCCATAACATTCGGCCAAACGGACAGAGCTATTAGGCAATCCAGCAAGACTTTCCATTTATATTGCACTTCGGCAATACTGAGAACTCATAGCCAATTGCTCGGCAAAGCTCCAAAACTACTTTGCATGTCATTTATTTGGCTTATTTATTCGGCATATCATTCAGCAATTCGGCTAACATTATTCGGCACAAAACTACATGCTCGGCTCAAAACTACATGCTCGTAACATGCTCCATAGCATTGGACATCCTTGGCACAAAACTACAATTATTAACGTGCCTACCTCTTCGGCGAAAATCTCATGCTTATTATCTCGACATAGAACTAGCATCTAGGCTTGCCAAAATCAACGTCTGAATATACAAGAGGATTCGTATCAAATCAAGGAGTCCAAACCCACCAACCCGAGCAGCCAAGAAGAAACCAAAGTTCACTGGAAATTGCGAAACGGACCACATTTTTCGAACATTAAAATTTTCAAAGTTATCGAAATCAAGTTTTGATCATCCCAATGTAAAGTACTCATCGAGATGAATCCAATGCAACAAACCACGTCAAAATCGGTACTAAAATGAAGCCGTACGGGCCGATCAAAGTTTGCCCAGAAAATGAATTATTTCGCTAGAGAAAACGACCCAGCAAGCAATGAAGAAATAATCCTGTGCTTCGCAGTTGCCTTACACCTTGTTGATCTGAACCCTCATATCCATTTTGGCTACAATTACGCCTTCAGGAGTATGATCATAGCGATCTAATAATCCTTTCCAGCTATTTGATGCATTTTGAGTCCATTCGTACGGTCAGAATTTGCAAATTCAGCTATATATATATATATATATATATTTGCAGATTTTATTCAAAAATTGAGCGCGATGGCTCACTTCGCATATCATTAAGCACCCTACTTTGTCTCGGCTTCATTCCGATATCGCCACGACACCGAACAGGGGCACAGAATCCGTTTCAAATTGTTATCGACCTACTCGGCAATTTTGGCCCAAGTCAATTTTATTTCTTTCGAATAACAAATCTTACTCAAAAGCAATGGGGCAAATATACATTAGACAAGAAACTCAACTTCAATAAATTGGCAACCATTGCCAACCAAGTTCTTAGCAAATCCAACTCCAAAGGGATGCCGATACATCGCGAAACTAAGAAAAATCACCGACCAAAAGATCGACACAATCACTGACCCAAGTGTAGCTGACCAATTTTTCGGCAAAATCACATTATCTATGGAAACGGACACCGATGTTTTGACACTAGTTACTCGGCAGTGGATCAACTTTACATGGCAATATTATTCGACACCACTATTAATTCAACATTATGTATGATCATTATTCAGCCGTGCATCAACTTTATTTGGCTAAACAACATTGTTGGTCAACTTTATGCATTGTCAAACTTTATGCAGCAACATTAGCCACAGTATTTGGCAACTTCATATGCCTAACAACATTATTTGGCAAAACAATTGCCCACTGGGACATCTTAGTCAATTTTTCGCTTTCCAATTGAGGTACATCAGCCAATCATCATCTCGGCACCTTTGATATGCATGCATACTCAGCCAACTTGGTACAAACATTACAACGACATTTACTTGAATTCCACACTCCCGTTCCTTTTCACACCGCTCCAAGCAAACGCCAGTTTTGGGGCAATACATTACACACTTGGTAGTCGGGCGTTAGCACCTGGCAGGCGGCAATTCACATTTGGCAGTCAGCAGTTCGCATATTGTTGTGCGCTGTCATTTTACCAAAGCCGAATCTTCCCTGCAACATAAGGCACTGGGAATTTGCATTCCTTCCGACTAACACCTATCATTCGAAAGCAATGGAGCAAGTACACCTTGGACTAAACCCAAACCGAGACTAAACGCAAACCAAGCAACTCGGCAATTAAATAGTTGGCTCAATATCTACTTGACAATTCCTTATAAGCGAAGCAATATTATTTGTGATTAACACGTATACCTCATTTGGATGCATTATTCAAAATCCTTGCAATATTAGCACTTGATCGCCACTTAAAATTAGCTTAAGTCTCCGAGTATAACGTAATCTTCGCACTCGGCATGGAGCGCCATCAACAAAGGCCTACAACCATGCCCGGGGGTTAGAATACCGCAGGCCTTCACCCTCACTCGGGGTAATAATACCGCAGGCCTACACCTTCGCCCGGGGGTAATAATACCGCGGCCTACAGCCCTTGCCCGGGGGTAACAATACTGTGGCCCATCATTATGATTTGTTTGGAACTCATGTGATATAATTTCATCCTATGATAGACATATGTATATTTGTACATACATTCAAGACATACGTACATTTATACATATATTCAAGACATATGTACATTTATGCATACATTCAAGCATACATGCAGTTATTCATTCATACATTATATTCATTTATCCAGAGTGTTCTTTATCAAAAAACCTAACAAATATTTGAACAACGTAACTCGGCTAGAAAAACTCTCATTCCTTCTACCGCAGACAATGAAAGTTTTGGAGCAATTGTAGGAGCCAGAAAAAAATATGTATCCGCTCATTGGGGTTAACTCAAACTAGGCCTACAATGGGTCTAGCCCAAACAAATATCACAACCCCCTATCTATATAAAAGGGGGGCATCCCAGAAGAAAGGTATGTGATTACACCCCCTCATCTATATAAAGGGGGGCATCCTAGAAGAATGGGTAGGTGCTCTCTCCCTACACTATACACCAACACTCTTGATTTCCATAGTTTTATTCTTTCAATCAAAAGACTAACTTTAGTATCGGAGTGTCTCCGGCCGGCAACCCTGGTTGGGTGGCGCCGATCATGCTCATCTTTGCAGACACACTGAGACAAAGTTCATCTCTTCGTTGGATCTCTACAACATCCATGTGAGAGGATATTTCATAGTCTCATAGATGGAAAAACCTTTAAATTACACCTTTAAAGTTTACTTATTTATTAAAAAAATAAAGGTATTTTATTTATTAAATTTTATTTTTAGAGTGAGGTTGAGTAAAGGGGGTAGCATTGGAAGAGCAAAGCAAGTTGCAATAGCCTATTACATTTTTTTAGTAACAAGATACAGTCTAGCAACTAGAATAGGACAAAAGCACCAGATTTAATGGGGTGTTAGAATGTTTACTATAGTAGTTAGGAAGAACACCGACCAATTTACTACTAGTACTTCTAACTGAAGGCGAACAACCAGCATTGTTATGAAATTAGCGACTGGCTTAAAATTAAAAAAGGATTCAAGTGTATCTTGATAGTTGAGAGGATGTAACAATGAGTAAAAGCTACTACTATTATGATTTGTTGACGATTATAAATTTGTGTCTTCTATTTTGGGTATTACTGAATCTAACCTAACTTTCATCAATCGCACTCAAGTGGAGCACTCAACTATGGCAATGCCTCTTTGAGGGTTAAGTTAGTCAATACAGTCTCAGATGTGTTTGTTAATAAAATCACCATAGGAATGGAGTTTTTTCAATAGAGTGGAGGTCAACTAATTAAAAAAGAGGCTCTACTTATCAGGCCCGGCCCTGGCCATAGGCTCACAAGGCCATGGCTTAGGGCCCCTCAAAATAGGCCCAAAAAAGAGGCCCCTCCTATTAATATTTAGTATAATATGTTAGGTATGTTTTAAGTCCAAAAAAAATTAAAAAAAGGCCCAAACTAACTTAATTTTTTTGACCCATTAAAAGGCCAATAGTTAAGGCCCAGCCCAACACTTTGAAAGGCCCTTTTTTTTTTCTAATTCCTAACACTAACCCTATCTTCTCTTAATCCTGATAGCACCAGCAGCCTAAGCTAACAAACACAAAGCAAAGCAACGAAGCAACAGCAGCACACGGACGGACGAAGGAGCAAGCACAGGTAAATTTTTTTTTTCTATTCAATTAATTAAAAATTTATCTTGTCTTTTGCACAATTAATTGCTATTATAATATTGGTATTTACATCATCAAGAAGAATTTGTTTAAGTTTAATAGTTCACATCACATAATTTAAAAGTTTTGTGTTTTGTTAAGTGGTGGTGCTCTTGTTTTGAATTTTGATCTAAAAAAATATTTTGATCTTAACTCATCATGACTCTTAAAAGAAATTATTCGTCTGGATTCGCAAAAAGGAAAAAGAAGAAAAGAGTCAAAAAATTAGTTGAGTGTCAAAGAGAAGCTATTGATAAATTCTTTATGAGTGACAAACAAACAGAACAATCAGTTGAAGACTTGAATAGTGAAGAATTTGAAACTTCGGTGAATAATGAAAATGAAAATTTGGTGGATAATGAGAATGAAAATTTGGTGGATGAAAAAGGAAATGGGGAATTTGGGAGTGCAGAAGCCAATCAAGATGATGAGATGAATACGGAATGTGAGCATTCAAATATAGATGATCCAGGGACTTGGAAAATAATTGACCACAATTTATGAGATTTTTTAGTCGAAAGAGGTCCTGTAAGAAGAAATTGTGAGTTCAACTTTCCTAAGGATGACTCTTCTAGGCATAGGCATTTCTCACCTGTTCATTACATTCGGCATTTACCAAATGGAGAAAAATTTGATAGGACATGGCTGATATACTCGGAACTTTTGGATAGAGTATTTTGCTTTTGTTGTAAGTTGTTTAAGCAGGAGGGAAATAAGACTCAATTGGCTACCAAAGGATTTAAAGATTGGAGAAATATTGGTGAGAGACTTAAAGGCCATGAAAGTGATAACGAGCACATTACTTGCATAAGCAAATGGATTGAGTTGGAGGAAAGATTGGGAAAGCATCAAACAATAGATAAAAGTATACAAGAACAAGTTTACAAAGAAAGAGAGCACTTGAGACGGGTTTTATTGATGATAATTGCAGTTGTGAAAACACTTGCCAAGAATAATTTGCCTTTTCGTGGAAGCCATGAGAAGATTTATGAAGAGAGCAATTGACTTTTTTTAAGCATAATTGAAATGATTGGCGAGTTTGATCCAACGATGGAACAACACTTGCGGCAGATAGAAAATGGTGAGATTCATTACCATTATTTGAGTCACAAAATTCAAAATGAGATTATACAAATGTTGGCCGGGGAAGTCAAAAGTGCAATTTTGTTGATAATCAAACTAGAAAAATACTTTTCGGTCATACTTGATTGTACACCGGATATAAGCCATCAAGAACAAATGTCTCTTGTTGTATGATGAGTGGATGTTTCAACAAGTCCAATTAAAGTGAAAGAGTTTTTTTTGGAATTCTTGAATGTGCATCATACATTGGGGATGGGACTTTTTGATAAACTTCAAGAAGCATTAGTTAACCTTCAACTTGATATTGGTGACTTAAGAGGGCAAGGATATGACAATGGCTCTAACATGAAAGGCAAAAACAAAGGTGTTCAAACAAGAGTACTTCAAGTAAATCCTAGAGCATTCTATACGCCGTGTGGTTGTCATAGTCTTAACCTTGTGCTTTGTGATATAGCCAACTCTTGCTCTAAAGCAATAACTTTTTTTGGTGTGGTACAGCGCATATATGTATTGTTTTCATCTTCCGTTCAACGTTGGGCAATTTTAAAAGATAATCTAAAGGAAGGCCTCACGGTTAAGTCATTGTCGCAAACGCGTTGGGAAAGTCGCATTGAAAGTGTTAAACCACTAAGATACCATGCTTCAAAAATAAGAGATGCTTTAGTTGACTTGTACAACAATCCTACCACAGATTCGATTACAAAAAGTGAAGCTAAATCCCTGGTAACTCATGAACTTGAGACTTTTGAGTTCTTGTTTAGTATTATAATTTGGTATAATTTGTTGTTTCATGTGAACTCTGTTAGCAAGCTTTTTCAAAGTGAAGATATAGATATAGCAATTGCTGTAAAACAGCTAGATGAGCTTGTTAAGTATGTTGCAATGTATAGAGAACTTGGTTTCATGGAGGCTATGGTTGAAGCTAAAGAAATGGCAAGTGAATTGGGAATTGAACCTACATTTGTTGAAAAACGCATTATTTCTGGAAAGAAACAATTTGATGAGAATGTTAGCGGTGAGGTGACCCAATCGGCTGAAGAATCATTTAGAGTTGGTTACTTCCTTTATTTTGTTGATCAAGCCCTTTGTTCACTCAAAAATAGGTTCGAACAATTCAAAGTATATGAGGCAAACTTTGGCTTTTTGTTTGACTTGAAAAAGTGCAGCGATGAATCGTTGAAGGCGGGGTGTGTGAACCTTGAAGAATTTTTAAAACATGATGAGATTTTCATATTGATGGAAGAGATTTATTGATGGAGCTAAAAGTCTTGAAAGAGAGATTG